TTATTAAATAGAAGTTAGCCGAATTCAAAATTTCATTGATTTCCTATCACTGACTTTACACGTTTACACGTCATCCTTAATCAAGTTTAATAACATCCGTAGTTATAAAACTGGCCAATCACAACTATTCCTCAGAAGAATGGAATGACTGTGATTGGCCAGTTTTATAACTACGGATGTTATTAAACTTGATTAAGGATGACGTGTAAACGTGTAAAGTCAGTGATAGGAAATCAATGAAATTTTGAATCCGGCTAACTTCTATTTAATAAATATTTAATTAAAATTATCTGGATCACTCACAAACCTTTTTAATTGCACTACAAACGTCTTCATACGAAATACCAACGATTCCATATAAAAACTTTATCTAATTTATCTATTGGCGCTAAGTATACGGTAGAAAAATAATTAATTAATTACAAACAAGCGAATGACTCACAAACCTTTCTAATTGCACTACAAACGTCTACATACGAAATACAAACGATTGCATATAGGAGTTATTTAAAAATACGTTCAGTCGGCGTCAAGTATGAGCGAATGTTCTGCGTTTTATTACGTCAGAAAGTGGCAGTCTGAATGAGCCATTAAGGCTTATATCTTTTGTAGACCCGGCCTTATGCACTCATACAAAAGTGTGTGCACCCTCTATAACCTTATAGCATAGACGATCTCAGATGATTTTGTCTTAATTTCTGTCCTCAGCTTTTGTCGTTTAGTTTTGTTCTTGTGGTTTTGTTCTATTTGGCTTTTGTCATTATTTTGCTGCTGCTGTTTTCAGAAAAGTTACAATACAATGGCATGCTATGGCTCACGGTAAGATATTTTAATGATTTATGGTTAAACATAACATTTTGGTTACGCATTCTGTCATTGTACCAAATGTTTCAGGAAAGAATTCGTTGAGAGATGTAAAAATTATTCCTGTCTTGATCTAGATTGTGGTTCCGTACACACATACAAATACTGCTTCATGTTTCAAAATACTACGTGTCGTAACGAAAAATGTCAATTTCTGCACTGCACTAGCGTGGAACAGCTTCAATATGAAACAACGGGGAAGCCAACGGAGCATCTCAAAAGAGAGGTCGCAAGAACGCTACAAAACACGAACATATGCGGTGACTTCAAAACTAGCGTTTGCAACCGCACTAAATGTAAGCGGCGACATATAAAGTTGGATAACAGCGAACCCTTGGAATGCCCTATATGTACGAAAGCTATAATTATAGAGAACTTTGGTGCAGGAGATTGTGGGCACATTTTTTGTTGCAAATGTGCATCACGTATAGTAAATGAAACAAACGATGAAATGAAAGTACAATGTCCAATTTGTAGGTTTACAGGCGAATATAAAAAACTTATGTAGTTTTTATTTTTGTATTAAAAATGTATTCTTATTCGTATCTTCTAACTGTATTGAAAAGAGAGAAAATTTATTTTCCTAGTTTTGAAAAAATATCAAGTTTAATACCGTTGTTAACGGATTAATGTACCAATTGGTGTACAAATATTAATTAGTTTGAAATTAAAACAACAGAAAAGTTCAAAATATAATTTAAATATA